GCGCCGAGCGAGCGTTAGTTTTAAAGCGCCAACTGGCTCCAACTCCAACTGTAACAATTGCCGCTATCGGATTTTGTTTCAAATTAGTCCATATTAGTAGTTTTCCAAATGGGACTTCTGTATCCGTTGCTTCGGTCGTTTAATATAATATATCTGTCTAATCCAAATATAATCTTATAACATATATCTATGTAGGGATTCCCTTTATCATTATTTGGTTGGACAATTCTTTTATCATCAAATTATCAATAATATATATATGTATATATTTTATAGAATTCAAATCTATTGTTTTTCAAGTTGAGTGTCGGTAGTTTTTGAATTATTTTACTTTATTTTATTTACTTAAATTGAGAAGCATCAATAATCAATGAACACTTAAAAAACCATAACAATTATAAAGAATATCACAAATTTTAAAACATAACTAAATTTTAAGAAATCATAAATAAAATTATGACTTGTTAAACACAAGATTTTGAATCTGAATTTGTATGAATTTTAAAAATATTTATGAGAGATATTCTCAGTTGAATCTAACATTACTTAATCACTTAAATATAATCTAATAATACCAAACCTCAAATTCTAACATATAATCTAGAAAAATACTTAGGTAAAATTCCTTATACCTATTATATCAAATTTTTCAATTACATATGACAATGTATATTATTTTTAAAATATTAACATTTAATAGCACTTAATTATAAATCCACCTAAAAAAAATTAAAACACATGTCATGTATGATTAGAGAACTTAATGCATACAAGAAACATGGCATAATTATTTTCCTATAATCTAAGTAATTAATAATAAAAGACAAAATTATATCTAATGTTTTTCATAAGGGAGGGAGGGACTGCTTTTTGATTTTTATTTATCAGTTATATTATTAAATTTTTTACATCATATATGATTTTGTCATTTATTAATTATTTATAGGAAAAAGCCACTGAAATATAGAGTATATAGTAATTAAGATTAAGAGTAAATTAAAATGTTGTTAAACTTGAAGATAGAAGTAATAAGATTTAATACTTTTCTCAATTTTAGTGAAACATTGTGTCTTATGTAGTTGTGTTTTATAAATAGAACTCCATGAGTGCATTAAAATCAAAATTTCAAACATTTTAAATTATTTTGGGAAGAAGAAGAAATGATACTGCTTTGAATATTTAATATAAGAATTAGTTAGATATTTAATTTGATTTTAAATATAAGAACACAATCCATTTTGTCTCCAATATTTATCTATTTTGTCTTTGAGTAATCTCTATAATAATTATGTGTTAAGGAGCTACTATTAATGATTAATTCAAATATATATGATTAATAAAACTATTTCAGAAAAAACAATATTTATGCACTATACATAATTAATTTAAATAATTTTTTAACCTTCAAATTAGTAACCATATTTTATTTTTTTAAATATTCATACGTGAGACTCCTGTGTAAAATAAAAGCGGGGGATAACAGCAGACGGAGGAATTCTGGTGATGCCGCTGCTTGCTGCCACTTCCCATGCGCCGAGCGCCTTTTGAATTTCTGGGAGTGATGAATGTCGCAGTAGCAGGCCTGCTTGCTCCTTCTCTGACTCCTCGTCTTTCTACCTCCATTGGAAGCTCGGTATTCGTCTCTCTCTTCTCTTCGCCCCCCAACCCAAAAAAAAAAAAAAAACTTTAATTTCTTCGTCTGATTATTGTTCTAATGATTGCTTATAGTTATAGGTTACTTCAATGATTTTTTTAATGCTTATGGAGCACTTTAATTGTAGATTTCTGTTCGAGGGCAACAAAAAAGTTTGTAGATTTCCGGGTTTTTGTTTGATCTTCACGGAAATGAGTGTTTCTTCTGGGTAATTTTATAGAATCTCGATGGCAATGGACGATACCCTCTGGAGGAGTCTAACAATTTTTAAATCCCACTCAAGCCGGGTATAAATGGCGCTTGGTTTTGGCCTACGATGGAACCAATTATGCAGGTCTGCTTTCCCTCCCAGTTTCTGGGTTTGGAGCATTTGGTTTCTCTTTTGTGAAGGCCTTTGCAACCTTTGCGATCTTTTCTGTATCTTTCTTTCCGGTTAGCTGGTTCTAAACTCCATTGCCTTGCTGAAAACTAAATAATAAACCAGCGATTTGGTCTATGAATTGTTGTACCTATTTACTTTAGTTTTGAACCCTAATTATCTTCAAGACTGATTATATTTCAGGCTGGCAATATCAGCTGTCCCCCCCAACCATACAATGCGCTGTGGAAAACGCTTTAACTCGAGTTACCAAGCTAGATAGAAAGGATCTCTGCTTGGTTGGTTCTGGCAGGACGGATAGAGGAGTTCATGCATGGGGTCAGGTCCATCTTTATTTCTCTCGTGTAGTTTGAAACAGACTAGATTGAACTTGACTCTGTTCAGGCTAGGGTTTTGAAGAGAGAGTGCCCAAAAAGCAAAATAGTCTGTCCAAGCCCAAGTCTGATTTCACTTTTCTATTTCATCTTAAACATTATTAAAGCTACATGAACCTAAAGATTATTAAGATATCAAACATTTCTTCAGGTTAATCAAAATTAAATGGCAGGAATTATAGTTTTTCCGGACAAGATTTTCATAAAATAGTTCTCTTCTAAACATGAAAGCCTCTAGCGAAAATGTTAAACATCATTTCCTACTGGTCTGAAATGTTAAACAACATTAAAAGAGGAAAATAACAAACTTCACTCGCATTCCATTGAGGCCTAGGCTAGAAAACTGAAAATATATTCGGGTCTTAAATTTAAGGACCAAATCTATGGCCTCCATAAATTACAAGCTTAACGTTGCTGCAGGTTGCACACTTCACCACACCATTCAACTATGACAGCTTGGAAGAGATTCACGCAGCTCTGAATGGCCTTCTTCCTTCTGATATCCGAGTTAGGGAGATTAGCCCAGCATTGCCTGAATTCCACGCTCGATTCTCTGCAATAAGTAAGGTTTACCATTACAAGATATACAATGATACCATCATGGACCCATTTCAACGGCACTTTGCTTACCATAGTGCCTATAAACTCAATAGCGCTGTCATGAGAGAAGCTGCGAAATATTTTATTGGGAAGCATGACTACTCTGCCTTTGCCAATGTATCCCACAATGATCGGGTTCCAGATCCAGTGAAGGAAATATTCAGATTTGATGTGGTAGATATGGTAATAGTCGATCTCTAGTGCAAGGTTTCTGCACTTTTAGATATTATTTCAGTTCTGAAATGATAGTTTAATCCCAGTAATAACTAGGGATAATGACAGTTAAGTCCTGAAATATTAATTTGATGACAGTTAATCCTGATAAAATTTTCTGAAAAATGATTTGTAAATATTGATTTAGATAATTGCAAGTGGAAATCTCACTCAAAACTCAAATACCTAATTTGCAATTGAGACTCCAAAATTTACAACAATCTGAATCGATACTTGCAGTTCACTTTCCAGAAAGAAAATTTTGTCTGGGAGTCTGTCATTAAATTGATGTTTTGAGACCTAACTATTATTCTTCCTAATAGCTAAAATTTACATTACTATTTCTTTTAAAATTGAGACAAAAATTACCACTAGATGGTTAGTGGTAATGGAACAAATCATTGTAGTGTAAACTATAATTTACTTATTTAGTGTTTTGCACTATAGTTACTCTGATTTTATCTTATTTTTGCTAGAATTCTTATATAGCTGATTACTTTATATGTAGGGAGCTCTTTTGCGGCTAGAAGTTGAAGGCTCAGGTTTCTTATACAGACAAGTACGAAACATGGTAAAGAGTTTACTTAAGCCTAATCCATGTGAAGGATTATTCTGCATTTTAAATTTATTCTAATGATTCCAATTAAATGCTGGAAATTGTGTCCATGTGTTTACCATGCAGGTGGCTCTGTTGCTTCAAATCGGCAAAGAAGCAATTCCTCCTGACATTGTCCCCATGATTTTGGAATCTCGAGACCGCAAGGAGCTGGCAAAGTACGCATTGTCTACTCCACCTCATGGCCTTTGCCTTGTATCTGTCAACTACAATGAAAGTCACTTATTAATTCCACCAGGTCGCCCTGCTGGCAGTTTTGGTAGGCATCATAGTGTTACAAAATGTAAGCTTCCGTTCTATTAACAATATTCAGCAGCCTATGAAATGATGAGACTTCAAAAACGGTGCCCCATTGAATTTGCAGATATGATGCACACAATTTATCTCGTGGTCGTATCTGTGTCAATATTGATGTTTCTTGATTAGGAACAAAAGGAAGATCCCATTTGTAGGAACTACGTTTTGACGTATATTTGATTGTGCCTGGGGCCTGGAATAGGAATTTGACTTCTGGGTTTGTTTCCAAGATATAATTTCGAGTGAAGTTCCATATTTGTTTAATTCAATGAGTATAAATTTAATCATTTACTTTTAACCTTGATTTGCATTGGTATTTGGTACTTATATGCAAGAGGAATTACTTTGACTTGTTAGAAGGAACCGGGCTTGTTTGTGGAAGTTGAAATTATTCCTTCTGGTTCAAAATATAAGCTAAATTTGTTAGTGAGACTTAATTTTTTTTATTTTATATTTTATAAGATAACATTCACTTTTATCTAATGTTTAATGAGTTTTTTTTTTTTTTCAGTTTTGTCCTCATATATTTTCCTTTTTCTTTGATTCATTTATTGTATTTTTTACTTATTTTCTTCATTAATAAGGACATATTTTGGGGAAAAAATTACGTGCCTTACACATTTATTATTTTAAAGTGCTTTTAACTAGTTTCTTGATAAACGTAAATGGATAAAATTTAGTTTATATTTTGAATCAAAGGGAGTATTTCTAAAGTGCCTGTTGGATGAAGGCATTTTGATTTTTAATTTTGTGAGAATGTAAATAATATATTCATAAAAAGTTGAGTATGAAACATACGAAAATAAAAAACACTCCACACTTCCTCCACTCCTAAATGCAGGTTAAAGGAACCATGAGGCAGGAACGATTTTAATGGGATGACTCAATAAATTACTTCCATGACCAAACCATTTTTTAAAATCGCGGAACATACATATTTCTAACTCAAAAGATTGCCTATGGCTTATGTCTCAAAGAAACGAAGTTCTGCCATAAACTCTTGGCGATAAGGGGAATACCAAGCTACTGCTTTTGCAGAACCAAGGACTTGCAATGCATATTCAAAAGCAAGTATGGGTTCCTGCGCTTGTATAGGACATTTTGGGTTCTTCAGATCAACCGTAACTCCTGAATCAACTCTGAAACTGAGAGGACCAACAATCTGCACGATACACCATTTTTTTGTTATCAAAAGCAGCTTTAAAAATCTGTAGAACATCATGGTATTGTGTCTGATACATATTCACAGCATGATATTTTAAATTTTACGTAAAGTATTGTATATTTTCATTTAGTAGAGGGGGGAAGCCTTTTAAACACTACATAGTTAATCGTTTCACGTGTTCAACTTTTAATTGTGTCCTGTATCAATTTGAGTGCCGTGCTTACTAGTTTAGATCCACGCATAAGAGAAATTGTAACGTTAAGCAAGTTCACAGCAAAACTAAGAAAAGGATACGCGAGAGGGACAAGACAGTAATGTGCTGCTTGGTTGGGACATAAAAATTACTTTTCATCTTTGAAATTATTTTTCCAGTGCACCAAATGGTGGGCCCTAAAATAAAAATATTTGTTAAGAATATATGTTATTGCCACTAGAAACTTTTGCTTTCGAGCAATCAATCAGAAATCATAAAGAGATGAACAAGTTTCTCCAACAAGGTATCTTCAGGGCTAATTCTGTCAATTCCTAATAAGGTTCCGCCATCATGCAAAACTTATGCATATAGGAGTCTCATAATTGAAAGAAATGCAGGTACCTGCTGCTGAAGAGAAAAGGTAGCATCTGGACAAATTGCCTGAACAGCTTCCAAGGTGGGCCTCTGAGAATTGAGAAGATCTTGTGTAACACTTGTTGCAGCTGAAAGAAATTTCAAACCAGAAGGGAAGTCCAGCCGGGCCTGAAATCTGGAAAGGTCTAGAAAAAGCCTTTGGAAGTTTCCATATTGAGCCGCAAACGAAACGGATGCAAATATATCTGCCAGACAGGAGGCCTTCATTCCATAAGCCTCGAGATAAAATCCTCTGGAACCTTGTCTATCATCTTCCACTAGCGCTCTTACTGAATTCTCTCCCACAGAGGTGGTCGCAGCCACACCTGATAACAAGGAATTGAAATAACCAATAAGCTTAATGCCATAACATTTATGGCTTTATATTCATCCATGCGAGACAGCACCCCTTGCCATCGTGACTTTAGTCCTATTTCAGACAGCAGAACCCATCTCAATTACTCAGTTTAAATCCTTAATCCTCTAATAGTAGAAGAGTTAATGTTCTGATTATTAAAGATAATATATAATAGTTTCCGCACTTATTCACTGAGCAAAAGGTTGTGCGACCAAAGCACAGCAGCCGTCACCTTTTAGGCTAGGAATGTACCTATGGAAATTTCATGCGAAATAAAACAACTTACCAATAATTCCTGTGGCAGATACATGAGGGTTTGAAAGAAAAAAGTCATATGGCTGCACCAATTTCAACATTCGAGCTGTGCTTCTCCAAATGTCAACCTTCTTCTTGTAAGAAAAGGCACTCTTGATGGCCAATCCTGGAAGTAGAGTAGGAGGTGGCCCACTACTTTGATTTTGATTATTTTCAAACTGCTCAGGTGTCCCGATATTTCGGTGCAAAGACAAATGATAACTCGCAGCAGAGTCACTGGTGGCTAAAGAAGCAAGATCAATTGCCATTGAAAACGGGACATCCCAGTAATTACCAGTCTTATCAACAAAAAGACCAGGCCAAACTGCCTCTACCATCAGGTCATGATGTGCAAACTACAACCACAAACCAATGAAATCATCGATAAGAATAAAAACCCCTTAGATAGCTCAATTCGCAAGAAAATTTAATCACAAAACAAGAAGAAATACAAAAACCAAAAGCAATAGCAAATGTAGTCTACAATATGTTAAGTGTATTGTTCAATAAAAAATCATGGTCAACAGAACATGAAAAATTTGTTCCCGACCCCAATGGAATGAATCATACTAAGCACACTATTATTCTCTTCAATGATCCAAGGAAAGCTCATAATACTAAAGAATGGAAAGGCACAATTAATCTGACAAGGAAATCAAGAACAGAACCCATAGTATAAGGATTTCATGTTAACAATCACCTTGTGATGAAGAACTGTCTTGATTCTCCGTTTATTGGTATAACCATAAGCATCTAATCCAACAAGCAAAGTGTCATCAGGCGTTAAAAGGAAATCTGTGCACAAATTTAGGGCATATAAGGATTTCTCCTGTAGGTGTTTCTGAAGGGATTTCAACCACGACGATACAGACCCATGTGATTCTCCACTGCTTTTGACAGAGGCGACAAATCTCTGCACATTGAACTGCCCTAGAAGAGTTACAAACCTGCAAAACTAGCAGGCTTAAATATCAATATATATATATATATATATATTCCATGAGGATTTTTCACAGACCATCAGTTGATAGTTAAGCAATACACAGGAAAAAATATTCACAGCATTACATAAATTAATGCAAGCCTCTACTGATTTCATTATCCAGGTTTATCTTAGTCCAATAACGCCGTTCACAAAATACTCACAGGTTAAAGTATCTTTGGAAGAATTCTCAAGCCTACTCCCATACCCAGGGTCTTTCGCCTTACCATTACTGTCTTTATATATATATATATATATATATATATATATATATATAAATATCTACTCCCGAACTACGAAGCATGAACACAGAAGATTCATGTGGACAACAAAATGTTCATGAAAAAAATAGAACATGACAAGGCGAACGCACAATTTTTTCAATTCAGATAAAGAGCACTCCATAGAACTTAAAATCACATCTATAAATTCAAATTTTGGTAGAAAACAGGGTACATAGACAAGGGAATTACCAGCTATCAGAAAAAGGGATGGTGAGCACGCGCTGCAGACTCAGGCCTTGAGGTTTGGAATAGCTCGGAATAAGAGGTGCATGCATGAAGCGTTGAATGAAATCAATTTGGTTAGGTCTTGAAAGCCTTGTTCCTCTGGATATACCCAACGGAATTGGGTCTCCAGGAACCGGACAAGCCAAACCATCAAGTGTTTTGGGAGTAGAGACATCCAAATCCCAAAACCCTGCCCCATCCATAGCCCATCTTAGTTTCCTCATCTCTCTTATCTCCCAGAGTAGAGCAATTCTGACCGTGCAGAACTGTGCTGCCGCCAAAAAGAATGAGAATGCATAAGTCTGTTTCCATTCACAGGGCTTTTTGCTTTCTCACTACTGTCAATTATCCAAAATCCTAACTTGCAAACTATGAAGCATCGACACAGAATATCCACATTGACAATTAAATCTTAATAATAATAATCAATTAAAAAAAAAAAAAGAACAAGAACAGGACTAGGCGCTCGCGCTCACAATTTCATGGAGTAATTCATAAATAATCTACAATGTAAAACTTCCCTCCACCACTATTCTTTCCTGCTCGCTTCAAAGAGCGGAGACACAAAATTCGAGAACGATTATACAGCACATAGTAATCTCAGACATTATCAGGAAGAATTTTCAGAGCGTAATCCAATACACGACCGACAATTTACTAGAATTCAAAAGAGAAAAGAATAAAAGAAAGAATTTGAGTACTTGATTGACGGAGATGATGATAGCTTGTTGTCCTACATTGGGATTGTTAAGATGGCAGAAAGCAAGGCGAATCATTTCAAGCTCAATTGCGGCCCAATTATATATGTGGAAGAATTAGAATGGCCGGAAGTGCTGCTTTGCGTGTACTAGCGTTGGTGAGTCGGGACTGGTGTGGGACTCGGGGGGGCATTTGGGGAAGTCAACTTTATAACTGTAGCTGAACAAAACTTATTTATTTATTTGGAAAAGGCTAAAAAAAAAGACCTAAAATAATTACCCCATCAAGATTAAGTGATTATTATTCTTCCTAAATGTGCCACAATTTAAAATTTTTTAACAAAAAATTAAGAGGGGAAAAGGAAAGAGTAATATGAGAATTTGAGAATTAAATACACCAAGAAATGCAAGGAAAAAATTAACAAAATTTCTGGAAAATTTGTCAAGTTTAGTGGAAAATTTACCAAGTTTAGTAGCATTTAATGAAGGATTAAATGCTACTCTTCTATTGGACCCTGACTTGAATGACCAACACTAAGCAAGTTAAGTTCTATTCAGCTCATTCTTAGTGTCTTTCATGCCCTGAAAATCGAAGAAAGAAAAGAGAGAATTCAAAGTGATAAATCCAATTTCTCCCATTATACCTCATCAAATCCTAAATCCTAAAACTCTTTTTAAAAACAAGTGTTAATATCTTCAAGGCCTACACAGCTAGCTACAGTTTTAGATTCTTCATTGGTGAAGATTTTGATCACAAGGGGCCTAGCTCAAAATGGGGTGAATCAAAAATCAAGTAAGCAAAGTCATAGCAACCAAAGAGGTAAGAGTTATTTAATTATTGTGTAATTGGTTTGAAAGCTCGGTTAAGAAAACACTTGAGAATGCCGCTGTCCTATATTTAGACCATGAGTAAACTAAGGTTTTTGATGTGGAATTAGAGAAATCAGAAGCATTAGAGGATGGATTTATAACTCTACTAGTATATGATGATTGTCTGGAAGCAAATTGTGGATCTGGAAAAACACTGATGGTTCTACAAGCAGCAATGTGATTTTGTTAAATGGACTTCTGTGGATAGTTTGGTTCTCAATTTTAGGATAATTAGAATTAAAAGTCCATTTTAGGCCTTCAAAGTGCGCAATATAGGAACAATAGTTCATTATTTTAAGCATATCATTTTAAAAAAGCTCTTTTTGAATGTGATCTGTATGTTATGTATAGCCATACCTAAAGGTATATCAATTAAAGTAGACTCTTCTTTTTTATCAATCAAAACTCCTTCTCAAATTATACAAGCTTCTTTCAAGGCGTAAAGCTTTCTAGATGTAGATGGTGAGTATATTTATGTGATAGGATTAATTTAAAGAAAGAAAAATTCAATTAAGAAGGGTCTATTTGGATCAACGTTATAATAGTGCTTATAAACACTTTCACATAAACTGAGACAAAACTCTTCTCACATACCTTATGTTCCATAAATCACGTTTGAAATGCTTCTTATATGTCATTTCAAACAAGTCCGAAATTAGTTTAGAACTTTAAAATTGGAGAGAATCACTGTAAAATTAAGGGTAAGAAGGTACAAAACTACTCCCTTCAGCCCCTATTATAAGTGCATAACAACTACTTTACATCAACTAATGAAATTAGTTTAAATTAGTTATTTCTTGCAAAATCCTCAATAAAAATCATTAGTTAGAAGAGTCTAGTTAATTAGTAAGGAAGTTTTATAATTAGTTATGGATGCTAGATGGAAAAAGAAAATTGATACATTAAACAAAACATACTAGGGACACTTGTAACGAGGACCGGAAGGAGCATAATTTTCTCTTGTTCATGGCTAATATCTACTTGTGTATAGCTTATGTGATTTTATGTTGATGAAAACATGTTCTTCTGTCACTGTTTTATCATGCCGCGATGTTCTATTCATGAGTTGAATGCTCTATTCACAATGTTCTTAATGCTTGCGGAATTAGATACAATTTGCTATTGGGATTGTGAAATCTCACTCTCCCAAATAACATTCCTAACTCAAGTAGAAGGAAAGAACTCAGAGAAGGTAAAAAGAAGGCTTCATATTAGAAAAATTTCTAGGACTATTTTGTGTACGCTGTATATGATTTTGCATAAAATGGTATAAAGCATAACTAAAGCGTTAAGTTCTGATTTTATGACCCCTGAAATGTGTAGTATGCCATAAAGTATTGCACTCATATTTTGTGCAAATTAATTATTAACATGCAAGCTTAAGTTGAAATGCTGGAACTTTGAGGTGTGAATTTTACAAGTTAAATGGTAACTATGAGTCACATGAAGAGCCTTCCAGACAGCATCATAAATATTGATATAATTGTATCATTTGGCTCATTAGCTTTCTTGATTGAAAATTTTTCAGTATAGACTACATTTAGTCCTTTTTTGAATAGGAACTGATACACATCGCTTCAAATGAGCAGTTATAAAAACAACAAAACAATTGACTTTCTTTATCGCTCTGGATCTCTTACAAATAGAGGTTAATCAAGAACTCGGTAACTATCAGCCTTGTGCTAATAATCCCACAACAATTTTTGTTCGCACTAACATATTTCCATTTCTACCTAGAAATGAGCATTTTTAACCACCTGAAATTAGCTAAATGAAAAGAGTATTAGGGATGGGAAATGCCCAAAAGTCAAGATTCTATCCCCGCTTATGTAACAAGATATTAAAAAAAAAAAGGTTAATTAATCCGCAAGTCCTTATAGTTTCAACGAATTTTGAATCAGGTCCCTATAGTTTTTTTTCTTTTTATCAGGTCCTTATACTTTTATCTTTTTTTAATTAGGCCCTTGTATTTATTTTTCTTTTAATTAAGTCCTTATAATTTCACTAAATTTTTAATAAGGTCCATGTATTTTTAATTTTTATTTATTAATTAAATATAAGCTTAATTAAATAGATTAATACTGAAATATAAAATATTAATAATTAAATTAAATTAATAATTATGTAATAAAAAAGTAATAGAATTAATTAATTCAGAAATTTTTTTTAGAACAATTAATTTTTTTGCTGAAAAAATTAAAATCATTATAATAATTCAATATCTTTAGAATATTATTGTTTATAAACTAATATTAAATAATATATACTATTTTATGTTTATATAATAGTACTATTAGAACTTATAAAATAAAGAATAAAAAATTCAAGGACTTAATTAAAAATAAGGTGAACTTATAAGGACTTGATAAAAAGAAAAATAAATACAAGGACCTAATTAAAAACAGGTGAAAGTATAAAGACCTGATAAAAAGAAAAAAAAAACTATAAGGACCTGATTCAAAATTAGTTGAAACTATAAGGAGCTATGGATTAATTATCCCAAAAAAAAACATTAACGTGTAGCGGGGGGGTGGGGGGGGGGGGAATAATTTTCAGACAAGAATTAAACTGACTTCCCTTTAATCAGAACGATACTTCAGCATATAATTTCAGTCATTTAAGGAAAGTAAATAGTGAAAAAGGAGAACCGCTTAAAGAGCACGGCGATGGAGTTAGATTATTATCTCGCTAATTGCTATCACTAATTTGCAAAATACCCGGTCAAAAACAATACAAAGCTGATAAAACTTACTCAAAAACCATCCTCTCATCTTGGATGAATCAAACTCATCATTCCATTCTAGGAAAAGGCAACTATCATGTTAATTCCAAAATCTGTACATTCTCAAGCTTATTTCCAGCAAATCGAAGGCTGTTTGGCCAAAGAAGATTACATTTAAGACTGCAAAATAATTTTAAAAAGCTAGGTTACTAGGCATGGCAAGAATTTTGCAAGAAAAAAGTTATATTCCAGCCACTTTTGCTTGGAAGCATCAGAATGCCCGGGACTTCTATGCTAATTTGAGAGCCTGCCTTTGACGCGATCTTCTGAACAAAACAGAAAGGAACCATAAATGAGGGAATATACTGTAACCAAAGTTAGAAACCCTCCCCCCTCCTGTGGGGAGAAGAAAACTACCTATATAAGACTGCCCATTTGGATCATATTAGATATTTGAGCTAACACAAGATGTTGATGAGATCAGCAAATTACAATCCTATAAGATTTTTCTTCCGATTAAATGCAGCCAGTTACAAAACGGTGGGGGCAAAAAATGGGAAAAGGTGTCTTTTACCTCTAAAATGGCAGGATGAAGACATGCTCATGGCAGAGCTGCAGCCGTCAAAACCTAACAGAGAAATACTGATCAACCAAAGCCAAACCCTTCACTAGCTTCATGGATGGCAAGCAACAACCGCTCTTGAAGCTGCTCCTTAGAAGAATATTCAGGAAGGTCCAGCTGATTGAAACTGAAGGCAATTGGGGGGGGGGGGGGGGAGTAAAAGAAACTGGTAAGGCTGAAAGTCCATGTGGAGAAATTATAATTCCGAGCGACCATATGGATTGGGAAAGACAATAAGCACAACCAAAACAATGCCATGCGCAAGCAAAACAATGCCATATATATAACAACTCACCAAGTATGAGCGGATGGCAATCTATCAGGAGCTCCATAGGCCTTGTGAATCTGAAACTTCTGAGGTCCAGAGATACCTTGCAAGGCCTTAAAGCCATCCAGTGGAACCTGAAAACCAAGATCAAAAACCATTCTAAAATTTCCCTTTGCCTAAGCTATTTGCATCACTACTAAAAGTAAAAATGCAAGAGATATCATAATAGCAACAACGCTATTTCTTCTCCCCTAATCTGAGCATTCTGTACCATGACAAAACATTAAATCCACAACCCAGGTTGATAGACGTATATCTCCCCACTTAGCTATATGGGGGTAACAGGGTAAGAGAAAAGAAAAGATTCACAGATCGAACAGTATTTTTGGTCAAGTTGAATTGAATGAAAAATTTTCCCTCCAAAACAAAAATTGTATTATAGATCGAATTTGTTCATATGAACTGAAATCCAACAAAGCCCAACCCTAAGCAAATTATACACACTATAATTTTACTCAAGCGTCCAACCACATGGAAACTGGAGTCAGTAGGATAGCTTCCAAGTATGAAAACGGAGAGTTGCACATTCTGCCTAGAAGACAGTCCATCCCTCTGGCCAGGTGTTAGTCGTAACTAATATCACAACTCCAACTGAGATAAAGGGAAATCTATCGTACTCCCTAATTACTCATTCTTGTTCATTCTACCATAAGTTATTACCAAAGCTTTTCATTTATTGGCTCACAGGGAAACATTTTAGATGATGTGGTAATTTATTGGAATGTGTTCTTTTTGTGAACTTGAAGATTAACTATTAATTTTGCTATTCTGCTTCTCATTCTTGTTAGTTTCATCAGCAAATTATTTTTGGGATAGACCTGCCGGAACTGAGGAAAACCAAAACTCTCAACCACATAAGGTAGCTGAAAATATTGTCAATAGTGGGCATATTTTTAACCTAACTGTTGTCCGATGAGCTTGGCTTTGACCTTAACTCTAACCATACCCGGCCATTGTCGGCCTTAGATAGTCGAGTGATGGAAGAAGGAAATTGAGATCAAGCAAAATGATCTATTAGACTCTTTGGACAAGCTAAAGCTAAAAGAAGTAAATCATGTATGCCCGTCACACTTGAACGAGTAAAATTTTGAAAGGAATAAAAAATTTGCATCATAAACACAAAGAATACAATGTTTTCACTGAATCACCTTCGATGTTCCAGTCACAAATTGCAGAAGTCTAGCCATATCTTCTTTGTTGAATGTTTTGACCACCTCCCAAAACCATTGGACAACATTTGATGCCATTGTATAGCCTGTATACTCAGTATTGGCTTTCAAGTCGTCCACTGTAAAAAGAATGATGCTATTCAGATAAGTCAATGGAAAATAGAATTTCTGGCAATAATTAATGTTGAAGCCAACTCACAATCAATTTCTGGAAGCCCACTAATGAGTAGCTCAAGCTCCTTGTCATTGAAAATAGATATAAGTTCTCGAGGCACCAATTCATTGAAACCGTCTAGAAAAGAATTGATTTGTGGACGTATAGCATTTGTCAGAATATGATCAGCAACAAGGTCCACATACTCGTGTTTAGTTTCTTCGGTAACTCTTATGTTTCTTCCTCCAGGTTTAAGCTCATAGTCAGTTACCTATTTCATGATTTTCAGAAGATGGCCAAGGAAACAGAGAGAGGATATGATCAAAATATATCCATTGAATTTGAACGTTCTATGATATCAAATAGTCCTTTGACCAAAAGAAAATTGATATCAAACAATCCGAATTAAAATGTTTATATACCTCATTCTTCTCATAAAGTATGTGTTTTTCCTCATCAGGATCCATGCTAAACGTCAGGTCAGGAATATCACTTACATCATTCTGGTGTGCATAGCACAAAGAAAAAAAATATTAAAGAAACATGCGGAAGACAAGTATTCATTAACAAAAATAGAATAACAAGAAAAGAAAATAATAAACTAGAGCGTGGGTCACATGATCTGGATAAAGTATGATATAAGCAACACAGTTATCGTTTATGAATGGTATCATTTTCTATAGATTTTTTTTTTTTGGCCAACTTTTTTCTATAGATTTTATATTATATATAAAATACAGACGTATATAAATAGATGGGGAAAGGATACGCAATAACAACTGACCTCAAGCATCCACTTCAAATTCTTGTAGTAATCAGGATCAACAGCCTCAATGTCATGGTAAGTCACTTTGACACCAAGTATATGTTTATAGAAAGATCTGGTAAAGTAAACATCTAACAATTGCCCATCAAACAGGGCCTTCCCCACCTGAACATCATATTGAAACAACTGTCAAATATCTACCCCAACTGAAAGCTTTAGTTGTTAAATGACAACCTAAATGATTGACTTCGGTTTATATATAGCTCTAGCAACTATAAAAAGCAACTTGGTTGTTCTAAGACAATTAATCCATAGACATACCACTCTGCCCACAAATTTGAAGTATGAGAGGTGCTCGGTCTGGTACACAGAGTTAGAATTGGGCTGAAAGGTTGCATTGTTACCAACAGTGGTAAAAAGTAAAGCACCCTTGTCAAATATGACCCTTGACAATAGCTGATACCATTCTCTAGTCAGACCACCCGCATCAATACCCTCTTCCCCTTGAAATTGCACATTTAATCGTCCTTTAAGATCCTGAGTAGGACGCATCCTCAACTGATTATATGAGTCCTCCAAAATGTAAGCTCGCCTTACACTTATACGCAGGGGTCCAGACAAGTGCTGATCATGTTGTTGTCTGATTCTAGAGCGGAAATAGGCTCTCTTGTTATCAAAATCAATCAACCTTGGTGCCTTGAGCATCATGGAAAGTGACTTCTCCAACAAACCTGGATTCTGCCTAATAAAAGCATTCAACAGACGACGATGCTTCTCAGAAAACCTTGTAAATGTAACAGAACCATCAAGCTTTCGCTGTGAATCACCACTAAACGAAGCAGAACAATCAGCAGACTCTTTGACCTCCCTTGCAGTTGCATTACCATGATCTTGCTGCATAATGGATTCATTGGCTTGCAGCTTTTCACACAGCACAAAGAAGGCTTCAATAAAAGGCAAGAGCCTTTGTGTTCCAGGAGGAAGAGGGGGTGGAGTAGAGGAGCTCTGCAGATTGTCAGCAACATTTATATTTGTCATGGTAGTAGAGAAAGAGCTCTGACCCAGCTGGGCCTCAGCTGCACTTATACAACTACTCAATTGTTTCCACAATGGCTCAAGAGCAGTATTTAGATTCCACATAGTGGCCTGATCCTCACGCTGATCTATGTTGTTTTCAATATCCATGTCACCAGAAGAATTAAGCAAAGTGAGTGAACTCAGAGCTTGCAGCACACGCAAAATGGCAGCACCAGCCATGGAGCCAGCACTCAAGCCAAGCATATTTGTTTTCTGCAGGGTCATAAGTTCACTGACAGCTGAACTGGTCAAAGCATGAGCTGAAGCTGAAAGCTCTACAATAAAAAACTTTCGATGTGGAGGAATATTGGCAGCCAACTTCTTCAGCACCTCACCAGTGAGCATATATATTTTATCTGAAAGACTAAATAAGTAAATAGCACAGATTAGTCAATAACCCTCTCAATAACTAAGTACTGAGGGAACAGAGCAAATTAAGATATGGAAATGTACAAAGAAAGTTGTAGGAAGTCTCAAGCTCAACGACAGCTCAATGAACTAAACGGGAACAGTAAGCTTAAACATAAAAAGGATATGAACAGTACCCTTCACGACCAAGAAGACTGCATAGATTGCTCAGATCAGCTTGGGGCAACTGCAAGAAAATATTATACATATCTATGCTCTTCTTTACATTAGAATGGCATGTATCCATGCCAGCATGCTTGTCTTGTTTATCAGAGTCGGATTCCACTAGAGGAGGATCCTTCTCAAGATCACCTGAGGCTTCACTCGCAGCTAAATTTTGGCTACCTGTTGCTTCTTTTTCAGACTGAGACTGACTTTCTAATTTTGATGCTGCATTAATTACTATAACTTGAATGAGACCCATGACCTGCTCCAGATGTGCAGTGCTGCGAAAAAACAGGGGTCGGTTCAATAGCTTTAAAAAGAGAATAAGGGGAACATCCGGTGCCTGAAAGTTCTCGGCTGATTTTTTTGAAGGCTCCCCTTCAATAACTTTCCCCTTCCCTTTCTCCTTCACAGTCTCCCTAAAAGGGCTCAAAGACTCTGAAATAATTGATTGGTCAAAGTGAAACAACATATTTGCAACGGCAGAATGGTTTGTAGCCAAGTAAGCCAGAATCTCAAGAATTCGACGGAGCACCAAGGGAGGAAGACCTGCTTTGAGCACAAAAATAAGAGCATTAGTGAATAGTAAACTCGAATCTCTAGAAAAGGCCATGTACATGAAACAAAATTATGCCCAAATTTTACCATCCAGTAACTGAGATCGACCATAAACTGTATTTGAGTGACAACCATAAAGCCTCTGAGAATTTAATGTTGCTGATCCACTAACTGCGCCTTCAGCTTCGGGCTTGATCATATCAAGCAGAAGACAAACAAGAGTGGCCCTTGTGACACTGTGGGCACACAAGTTTAATAGGAGCCTCTGAAGAAGGCCCTTTCCAAGAGGCTGACAAAATAAACGGGGGAAAGATATTATCATGCTAGGCATATACTTACATCCATATCATGTCAAAACATATGAGCACACATGCAATGCAGAATCTTACAAGAAGACATGAAATTCCATAAAATATATGCAAATCTTAAAAACTTGAGCAGAGGGGCAAGAAACTGGAATTAAAATAAAATTATTTTGCAGCGACCAGAAGAGGCTGTTGACTATAAAGGAAAAAAAAATACCTGTGCCAATCGTAGAAGACGGATCAAAGATTTTAATGCATTTGCATCCAGCAGTGGCTCACCTTCAATCTCCTTCACCTTCAAGCTATCTGCAAGAATAGACCTCCTACCTACTGTAACTCCAACACCTCGATCCATTACTGGCCGCCGATCAAATCCCAGCCCATTTCTTCGGTTGCTAAGCCTGTGGCTGCTCCCAAATAGGCTACGTGCCTGATAATGACTCATTGCTCTGTCCCTCAACATTTGAGCTTCAGCAAGCAATGGGGATGGCAACGCTGACAAAACAGCCTCTGAAGAAGTCAGAAGCACCTGTAATAAAGTAATGATCGTATTATATTTCCACAACGTGCAGGTATATCAGTTATCACAAGGGTAAAATAAAAATCTAAACCTCTTCACGCAGATCAGCAGGAAAAGTAGCAATTATAGATGCATTATCCATGTCAACTGGTTGTCCTTCGGCCTGCTGGGCAACTCTTTGAGCTCTTTGTTGGGCTAGAACCTCAGCCTGAATATCGGGAGGAAGTGCAGCTAAAAACTCAGGGTCAATATCTTCCACAGAAGGAGCATATGCTGGAGGTTGAACAGATTGAGCTTGCTGGGAGGCCAGAACTTCTGCTCGCAAATCTTCAGGTAATGCCTCCAAAAAGGTGGGATCAATTGTATTGGCACCAGAAGCTTCATTATTCACACTAGCTTGGTCAGCCTCCGCAGCATTTAAAGCACCCTCTGTATTCTGAGGTGGTTGTTCATCCCTCTCGTGTTCAGCATTAGGAGTTGGTTGCTGTGGTTGATTTCCTCCAGCATCAATACCACCCATTTCAACATCAATATTTGCATCAATTGATGATGCATTGCAATCAACTGGATCAGGCATCTCCAAAACAGAGCCCACCATTTGAGGATTACTGGTCTGATCATCATTAACTAGAGCTCCATCATGACCCATTGGCAAATTTTCACCATTGGTAAATGCATCTGCACCTGTTTGACATGGTAGATTGACATGGGAATCCTGGGCATTAGTTGCATCCTCATTGATAGTATCATTTCTTTCATTTTCTGATCTGTCCAGACCATTTGACATAACATTCAGTGAAAGTGGTTGAACTACCATGGGTTCATTGCCTTGTTGGCATCCCACTATATCTCTTTGACCAGAGTTTGTATTGACTTCTTCCTCAATAGGAGCACCATTGACAGAAAGGTTTACTTGCTGAGCCGTTGATCCAGTAACATTTTCTTGCTGCTGACATTCCACTTGTTGAGTGGTAGAGTCAGTTCCCACCACCAATATTGGACCATCATGAGATGAAGGTGCATCAGATTGCCTCTCTTGTACTCCAGAATTATTTGACTGCTGTTCAACAGGACTGCTGGAAGGAGCAATGCTGCGCAGCTGAGATAAAAATCGTTCCTCCACAGCTTGTGCAATGGCAGCTGCTTGAGCACCTCCTTGTGGCTGACCATCATCAGTCCACCTACCATTACTTAACCCTCTTCTTCCCGGTAGCTGCAATGAGTCTAAACCTACAGAATAATCTGTGAGAGGAGGGGGTGCAGTACCACCCAAACGATCTCCAAAAAGACTACTTGGCACATGATCATATGGAAGAATAGGTGCATCAAACATGTAGAAATGGCCCACATCAAGATTTCCAGATGACAAAGCTTCTGGATCCCTAGATGAAGAATTACCAACTGAAGACCACATTGACAAGAGACCCCCGGAAATGGGTGGCCTAACAAGGAGTGGATGTTGAAAACCATTGACTTCAGTGGCTGATCTGTCAAACGAAGATCTGCCTGTTTGACGACGGCGCTCAAAACCCAAAGGCCTTCGAAGACCAAAAAGGTCATCCACATTAACCCCTTCAAAAGGTTCAGCTGCCACATCAATAAGGCCACCTGCAGTTCCAGGTTGCCCAAGTATCTGCAAATGGTCTAAGCCATCAAGGGGGCTCCACCTAACCTCTATTAGACGATTTTCAGGAAAATCATCATCGTCTTCATCAAAAATTTCTTCATTGTACTCATCTCCCAAGCCGGTATCATCATGATCTTCCACATCCGTATCAGCAAGGGACATCATTCCTCCACCATCTTCTGCTATATCCTCATCATCATCTTCCCCCTCATCATCATCCTCATCATCCTCACCATCATCATCCATGTCATCATCTTCATCACCCATGTCATCATCCGCCCTATTCTCAACACGAAAGGTCATTTCAATTTGATCAGAGCTGTGCAAGGCACCTCCCTCCCCCATTTCTTCATGCATAAAATCCACACCAAGTTCCATTGGAGGGTTTGGGGCCATTGGTTCACCCCCTTCTACACTCATATCCTGTTCCACCGACTCATTTGGATTAGTGGCATGATCATCACCTTGAGAAGCTCTTTGATCTTGCTGCACATCATCCATTGTATCTCTTAGTGCCTCTTGACTGCTTGCATTCTGATTATGTGCCACTTCTTCAGCAATAGATGGTGCAGAAATTGGGGCATCATGACTAACATCTAAACCAGCAGATCTGTTCTTGTTAATCCCATCAGATTTGAAGATTTGCTCACTGGCATTGGCAGCTCTAGTCAGGCCTTCTAAACCCTTGAGTATAAGATTCGCAATTTTGGGAGCATCAGGATGATCCAAATCCATAACTTGCAATATATTAGTTAAACACTGAATGATTCCACCATCTATCATGCTCTTTGCAATGTCAGGTGAATATCCAGAGCCGGGTAGGCTAGCAGATGATGAATTTTTGGACAAGATAGAATACACTAGATCAACTAAAGTTAAAAGTCTTTTATCTGGCAACAAGCTGTTCTTTCTTGAATTGCTCTCCAAATTTGAAAAAGACATCAAAGCTTTAACAAGTTCATTTGTTACACGCTTACGCCCTTCACCAGATCGACCACACAAAACTATCAGGAACCATGAAGCCTTCTCCAATAACTTACCTCTCCAATCATCAGGTCCTGCAAATTTATCAACAGCAAGAGGTAGCAACCGATGTAACACATGATGGATTATCCCACTATGTCCAGAATTATCTGGTTGATTGGATCCACGAAATTGACACATCTCAGAATCCCTTCTAAGTATGACCCCCACTGCATGTCCGTACATCAAGAGAATGTCACTCAACAATTTGAGGATAAAAGTCACCTTGGCCAGTGCTATGGATCTTTCAGATTCAGGCTCTGACGTTGTCACCTCTTCGATCTTGGATTTACCCTTCACCTTCATGGTAGGCTCATCAATATCCATGGAAGCTGAGTTGCACTCAGGATCTTGACCTTTCACAAAAGGATATTTCAGCACAATCTCAAGAAGCTGATCAATTACTTGACTGAGATTAACAGGAACCTTCTTGTGACTTTTGGAACATTTTCCTGATCCATCATGTGACTTGCTTTCAGATATCCGAACACATTCATTGGAAGATAGCCCAACTTCACTTGCTGCAGACTTAGATTTTTCCTTTTCTTTTTCCTTTTCCTTTGATAGCACAACTACTGTCCTTCCCCCTGATGTCTCTAACTGGCAAACTGCCACCGCAGCTTTCATAAAAACATTAGGATCCCTAGAGATCACAGGTGCCATTGAAGTCAGAAATGATCGAGGAGAGACACGCCCTCCATGGCGATTTCCACTTAATGTTTGTTTTATCTCTAATTCCATGGCTGTTTGTAGTGTTTGAGGATCTTCAAGGAGATGTCGAACTATAGCTGACACAACAGTGTCATATCCAGGGAAAAAACAATTCCTTGAAAGATTAAAAAGAGAAGCCAAACCTCCATTTTCAAGGAACTGTAAGGCTAAAACATGTGCTTTTGTTAAATGGGCACATAACTGCAGAACAGCTTGCATGACCATGGCAGGAACATTCTGTTTTATCAAATCACAAGCAATATCCAGCACCTTTTGACTTTCTTCAATAGATAGATAGCCTGTAGATTTCTCCAGCATATTCTCAATTGTCATGCTAGGTTGTTTCTCATCCACAGCTAAAGATGCTTTCTTCTCTCCATCGGGACCAAGATCGCCAGATGAGTCAGGCAGAGATTCAGTATGTGTTCCTTCCATATTATCAGTCTTGGGCCTCAGTTGCAGCATGTGATCCAATATGAGTAGTAAAGCGCTAATGCATTTAGGGACTGGCATCTCACTTCCTGGCTCAAATTTGGCTTTGAAATCTATTAATATATCTATGATTGTAGATACAATACCATTTTGAGCAGCAATTTCCCTTGTGCTTCCATCCTCAAAAAGAATCAGTGCTATAATATGTGATAACACACTTAAAGCACAGTTATCCTTTGAAAAGTCCTTTGGACAAAGCTTTAGCTGCTGAAGAAGATAAGATAATACTTTTGGACGATCTTCTCCTTTGTTCTGACTGCACAGCGTTACAAGCAAATCTGTAAGCTGAAATGCTACTGAGTCACTGCTCTGAAACAACTTCACTGTTGTAGCAAGAATATCATCGACTGGAGGTTTCTTCAGTTGCCCCTCTTCAATAAGCACATCCACAGTCTTTTCAGCATTATCTACTTTAGTTGTTTCAGATGAATTTCCAAGCGACAAAGCAAGTGCTCGTGCAAGTTCATCATCCTCCTGGACAGGATCATCAGCATGACTAAACAACCACTCCATAGCCATTTCAACACTATTTGTTTCCACACGTCTAAGTGCTTCCTCTGCCCTAGCCCTTGAAAAACCCATCTCAACAATAGTGGCAATGGTTGCCTCATCAGGTGGCGGTGGCATGAACCGTTGATTTGTGCTTCCCGCAATGTTGCGGTTTCGCTTCACTTCTCCAACACCAGAATATACAAGTGTTACAAGAGAAATGATAGATGCAATGAAACCAGGGTTACAGCTAGTAAACATGGGGTGATTCCAAACTGGTAGGATCACATCAAGAACCTGAGATTGCAGCATACGAACAAAAGTTTCTGGATCTCTAGGTACAGGGAATAGTCCAATCGACAATCCAACTGCAACTGGCTGAACAAGGAGCTCTGCCTGGGAAGCTGATGATGGGGATAAAAGTAACGAAGAGTTTACAAAGTACTCCAGCAAACGACAGTAGCTTTGTAATGTATCAAGTAGCCAGGTATTATTGGACAGCTTGCTTCCTTCACATTTCTTTTCAATTTCAGAGTCTGATGATGGCAAAGAGTATGGAAGCGTCCATAGCAATTGACTAGTAGCTTCAAAAGTCGTAAGTAGCTCTTTAAACGTACCATTGACATAAAAATAATTCACCATGGCAGTATAACAACTTCGGCGCCTGCTGTCAAAGGTGAGAGCCGCCATGTCATCTACAACCTTCCCAAGATATCTACATTTTACAGAAAGCAACGAGTCTAGTCCAGCATATGTAGAATGCCCAGAAAAACTAAGAGCCTCAAGAAAAGTTGTAGCTAAGACAGTTCCAAGAGTCTTTGATGCTGAACTGAGGGACCCTGTGTCAGCCCTACGACGATTTGGTGAAGTGAATCCCTTGACAAGGGCAGTGAAGAAAGAGCGCATAGTTGATGCAAGCCTGTTAAGAATTTCTAATACAAGAACATCAGGGCTTTTCTTTTTCAAATCCTGGGATAAAGTTGCCTCTGGTGCACTAGAAGATGCTTCAGAATCAATGTTCAGGACTTCCAAGTGACGGCCAGTCCTTCCACCTCTTAAACGTGATATCCCATGTCTAGTACGGCGGTGCAAACTTTCCGCAGAACGAACCACCGACAGAAACTCATGATCTCCACTCCACAATGACTGTGAACCATTCCTAGCAGAGACTGGGTTCATGTATCTCACTACTGGAATATTTGCATCATCATCACTCTCTCTTTCACCAGCATTAGGTGTTACCTGTGAAACCTCCGATTCTTGTTCAGTGTTCTTAACATCTGACTTGGAATCATTACACAGAGAAATTTGCCAAATTATTTCTTTGTATGCTTTCCCAATATCTTTCAATACATCAGCATCTGCCGTCCCCAATTCAGACACGACAGTAGTAGTTCCCTTCAACAAAAATATAGAAAGAGTTAGAAGACCTTCAAGGCTAGAAAGATACCCCAAGACTTTTGTTCGCTTTGCAGGTTCTACTAGAGCAAGTTGAGTCCCTCCAACTGAATCTAAAAGCTCATTAGTAGATTTCAGACGTTCCCTCAAGAAGGAACATACAGCTCGAGCAAGAGAAACATAATGCTGTGGGGAGAAGTTCTTAAAGGCAACAGATATGCTCTGCCCAACGGATGCAAAAGGAGGCATTAAAGGCAAAGTAAATAAATTGAGAACAGCTTCAATGCCCTTTTTCTCAACAAATATTCTACATGTGTCAGCATTCTGAAGAGTTGTCTCAAGAAGGCGAGCAAGATTGCTTGCACAATGAGGAAGAAATGATTCCATATTCATTATTGAAGCTTCAGAAGAAGACTCAACTGTGTGCTCGATGCCATCTGAGCTGGATGACTCCTTATTCTCAGGCAAATTCAAATCTGTATCCACATTATCCATATCCATAGGAGCAGAAGTTGAAGAGCAAGACTCATCAGCTCCATAACCAATTTTTGAGATAGTTTCCAGTATCTCAACTAGCATATCCACTCCAGGTCCACGTAGTGAAGAATTATGGCGCATTAATTCATCCAATCCACTGGACAAAGATGCGGGAGTGTCACCTGTAAGAGCACGCATATAGGTCCGAGAAGTGAACACTTTCACAAAACACCTCAAAGCATTCCGATCTTTTACAGCCTGGAGACCATTACTATTCAGGCATAGGGCATCCAAACACTGGGGGATGCATGTAATAGCTTCTGCAGAGTTGAGAACATCATCCATTATAGCATCCAAGAAGGCAGAAGGAAGACCAGCTGCATCTAAGACAGGAAAACAGGTTGGATCCTTTTGTATTAAATCACTCATAACAGTGGCTGCAAGAGAGAAAACTCCGCCACCAAAATCTCTTGCTCTTCTGAAGATAATGCATAAGCATTGTGGCAGCACATTCTCCTCAAATCCATATATACGAGAAGTATTTCCAGGAGCATAAGTTCCCAGAGATATAGCACGCAGTAAAGCTTTCATCAACAGCCGCCGATGATAAGATATTAATGGTTCAGAATACAAAGGCTGCACGTCAACAAGCTCATTAGAGACATCCCCAGCCACTTTTTCAGTGCTTACACAGGACCCAACATTTTCAGCCGGCTGCTTTGCACTATTTTCCACATGTGAAACTTCCATCTTCAGCCGAAAGATAGTATCATCTAAACCTCCCAAGTCCCTGAACAATGCAGCAGCTGGATTGCTATAGTCCATAAAAGCTTCTAAAATCCGTACAGCCTTTTCAACAAGATGCAAGTGCTGAGGATTTAAATCTTTAAGAAGGGGTAATAGAGTAGGGATAAATCCAGCTTCACGCATGGCTGAGCACCCTGAAGATGATGAAACCAACACAGAGACAAGTGATAATAGAGATTCTGCAAAATGAACCGACCATTTTGAGACATCACAAATGACAGAGTCAATGGCCTTTTGCATCAAGCTAGATAGAATGCCACGGTGTCCACCAGATGTAACTGCTGTCAGTACTGCAGGCTGGCGAGAACGATCCTGACAAAGTGCAGCTAAAGAATGCACACATAAAACCCGGATTTTATCCAAAGCAGCATCTTCATAGCTTAGCAAGGACACTAATTCATTGATGAATTCAGGCTCAGCATTAAAGAAAGAAGCCAGATCATCAGCATCAGCACATGCTTGAATGAGAACTATAAAAGCATACAAGCGAATGCATGTGTACTGCTGTCTAGAGGCCAAAGAACCAAAAGCCCTTGCAAACCGTAATCTTGTCAGCAGAGAAAACCTTAAATCAGCAGGCACCTTATATTTTGTAACTAACTTGTGCAAAAGTTCAAGATCAGTTTCTGCACATTTGCTGACATTGCATAAGTGAATGATTTGTAACCCCTGGACTAACGGTTCTGCCGTTTTTGTGTCACTGGATGATTCATTTAATGCATAAAACTCAAAATGAAGGGTACAACCCAATTCATATTGAATTGTGTCACACCCATTAGGCACAGCTGATGCCATTAAACCAAGTCCCTCCTCCTTTCCTCCCCATCCTTGTGCAAGAGCATACAGCTTTGAATTCAGAGAAGCATCTCTAATGGAGTACTTTCCAACTGTTTTCTTCAAAAAGGTAGATAATGTTTCCAGGCTCGCCTCAACCACATCTGCATCAGTAGAAGCAAGCAATGCCGAAAGATGCTGCTGCAGATTTAAAATTAAAAAACAAATAAATAGTGAGAAAAAGGACAAAGAAGTAGAATACTTATAGCTAAAAATAACATACTTCAAAGCATATTCTAAAATATTATTGATGAGTCAGAAACTTACAATCACCATAAAAAAGAAACTGATGATACACACATCAGCTCTCAGCTTATAAGACTAGAAGAGGAATAAAAAGACTGCATACCTCATATGAACTATAAAAATGCTTATTTGAGCAGTTCTCCAAAATTATTCTTATGACACGAAGAATTTGAAGAATAGCTTCTCTAGGAAAGGGAGGATCTAGGTCCAGAAAATTGTCATCAATCAGCAGATCCTTCCTTGGTTTAACATACTTCTCAAAAAATGAATCAAAATGATTAAAAAGATCAACCCAGTGATGAAAATCTCCCTGCACAGAGAGAAGAGATACCAATAAATCAAAGCACAATGAAAGAAATAAACATTTGCAAAAAGGAAAGGGCCACTAGAAAACCTTATCAAACTCCCAGACAAATCCTTTCAGAGGTTCTTCTATCTTCTCAAGTGGAACTGCAGTAACACTATTAATAAACGACCTAATCCTTGGAGGCTGCGACAAGTCAAAGACAAAACTGGTTACCATACATGAACTGATCGATCAACATCAAATTGACAAAGCAACAAATAATGCACATGACCACATAAGAAAAGCAGAGGGCAAAATCTTTTAAGAAGAAAAAAATCGCAAGTATATTAAAGAAAAAAATAGGATAGGAGTGGAAATAGCAATACACAAGAACATAGTCATACGTTAACCACTAGAAACTCACTTGCAGTCAATTAATAAACTGTCTGAGATAATAGGTTGACAGATGCAAGTCGGTGCATATGAACTAACTGTCCCACTTGTAAAAACATATGCTTACCAAAAGAGAACTTTCAAGGCAATGATAATTGGTAGCTGACAACACAAACCTATTCTCATATTACCATCATGAACACACTCATACATGTGAGCATTTGATTGCCAAAATGTATTTTAGTTGCCACAGAGGAAACAAGACTGAACCATTCAAATAAAGAAAGGTTACAACACCGCATATTGTTCCTTTAAAGGTGCCCCCAAATATAAATTAAACGAATTATAATTTCTACCCATACAAAGCGCTCTAGGGAGTACACCTTGTGCAGACCTATCCCGAGCTTAATTTAAAGCATGCAGCATATGAGAACACAATCATATAGCTTTATCAACACATATTTGGAAAGACAAAAAACAAACGAGAAATTATGCAACTTGATGACAGTTTTATGTTGCAAGGAACTTTGAAAGATCCAGTGATTTTATTCGTTATCCAGTATCATGGCATGAATATGAAAAGTTGCCATCATCAAATAGAGCATAAATATAAACATCAATAGGGTTGCGTACTTGCACTCGGATTAGCAAAAGAAGACAAGAAATGATCACTTTATCGAGCACCTAAATAACTCTCCGAAGCAGTTTTAACCAAGAATGAAAGAGAAAAAACCAGTAAAACAAGGCAATTGAATTATCAAAATAATATATAAAACCCCAGATAACAATTGACTCAAATAACAAGAAAATCATAACTTTGATCAGAACACATATGAAGCGAAAAATAAAAAAATCAAATAATACTATCGAAAACACTGACCACTTCCAGTGCCCGCTTCCTTTTAAACTTCATTTCGAACTAAAAGCATCAGAGGAATCAGAAAGATCAACGAAGTCGATCAATCCCCTGCAATCGAGAATTGATCGAAAAGCCGAGTCTCCAATCAGATAAAAATCGAATTGTTGGAAAGAATGAAAGAATTGAAGTGCATATAAGTGAAAGTGGACGGTGCGCAAAGGGCAAATGAGAGAAGAAATCTAACTATAGAAGCGAAGAAGAGAGAAATACTAGCACAGGGAACAACAACAAATGGCCAGCAAGAGGAAATAAATATTACTGATGTTTGCTTTCCTTGTTTATTTATTTCCTTGTTCGTTTTTTTTTAATAAAAATTCCTTATTCTTTCTAATATATATATAATATAAAATTTTGGAAAGCTGATTCTTTATAAAAAAAGAATTAAATATGAAAACATCTTTTATCAAAATCGAAACATTTTGTTTTAATTTACAAAAAAAATTTAAAAATGACAAAATCAACTTTAAATCATATTTTGCTACCAAACTTTCAAAGAGTATGAAAATTTAATTTTGTTCATATCGATAATGTTTGTATTTATATTTAATAAAAAAAAAGAGTTGTTGAATTGATCATTACTGAATTTCTAGTTTTAAAATTCAGTGATTATGTTATGGATTATAAAATTATAAAATATTCAAAGAAATATAAAATTATATAAGAAATAATATAAAAAAATGAAAACTAAATTTCATTTGCGCCTAAATTTTTTGTTAAAGTTATGAAACATATGAGTATAAAAATATAATTTATAGTAAAATAATAACAAATAGTAATATCATAATAAATTATTTTAAATCATTCTGGTTTCCCAATATTATTTTCAATATAAATTAGTCAAAAATATAATACTTTATACAAACCTCTTCCCAGATAATAATGTCTGTATTATCATAAAAGCGGCTAAAACTTAGCTATGGCAATTTAGGATATTCCTGATCTCAACCAAAAGGCAGAAAAAGGTATAACTTCATGTGTTTCATTTTTTTTATCAATCAAGTAATTATTTGATTTTTAAAACATATTTTCAAACATACAAAATTATTTATTTTTTGTAATAAAATAACGTGATAATCTTTATTTTTATATAGTTTTATCATAAGTGATGAGAGAAGATAAAATAAATCATGAAACAAGGATATTTTTTCCCATTGTGAGTTGTGACATTTGCTCTTTTTTATTTTATTTTTCTAATGTTTTCTCTCCTTCATCCAAATAAATGGAATCATAATATTATTTTTCCAGTTTTCTCTTATTTCTATATTTTCTCCTTTCTCTCAGTCTCAACAGAGCCTAAGCGCTATTCTAGAAGGAGTGCTTTTTAAATGGCGTACATGTCGCGTTTCGTGCTACCCAAACATTGCGACCAGCATGGTTAACTAGGGGAAGCGGCCTCCTATGGTTATGTTTGGATTGCAGTTGGAGAAGCTAAAAATACATGAAAAAGTGTGAAATTGAGGTTAGTGACTTATTATGACTTAGAAGATTGTTTGGATGGGACTTCTTTTCTAACTGACTTATGGAAAAAAAATAACTTTTCTAACTGACTTATCCAACACAATCTGAATTAACTTTTCTAACTGATTTATGGGAAAATTATGCAAAGCTTATGATCTAATTAGTCATATGATTTCATTTACTTTAATTAGAGATCAAATAAATTTTAATTTATATTCTTATTTATCCATTATGTATATTTAATTAATTATCTACAATGTGTTTTCAAATTTTTCTCCGTAACAAATATTTTTATTTTATAATCTCACAAATAAACTATTTATATTTTATCATAATAATTTTACGTATTTTTTAAGCTATTATCACATTAAAAATATAAAATTTCAAACACTACTATTCAATAAAATCCATACCTTTTTCAGTCATTTATAACTAAACTAACTTTTCTATTAATCATCCAAACAACTTTTAACTTTTTCAACTGATTTTTTATAAGCATCTATCCCAACATAAATCATATTACACTAACTGACTTTTACTCTAATTTCAGTTACAAAAGTCAATTAGACTATAAGTCAGTTTTGTCCAACGCCAATCCAAACATACCCTATATCTTTTATAATGTCTCAACCTCCCAAATATTATTTCTTTTTTTACTGGTAATTAATTTCTTCAAACAATTGTAAAAAATTTTAAAAAGTGTAAAATTTAATAATAAATAAAAAGAAAAGAAAAGAAATTTAGGAGGTAGAGAGAATGAGAGATTATAAGAGGCACTATAAGAGGCACTAAAGGCCCCTTGTATGCCCCTTAATACTAAAAAGTATTACATCTTGTCCTTGATATAAAACTAATTGATTAATTTGAATAAATTAAAAAAAATCTGTTAAGTTAGTAATTTGTAATAAATAAGTGTTGTCTTCCTTAAAATACCCCTACTAATCATGTTTATTAGTTAGAACTACAATTTGATGGAACATTTAACATGTGCAACTATTATAAGGATTATTTTGAAAAAAATAGATAAATATGAGAGACAGAGTAAATTAAAGTTTTATAATTATGACCAAATTAAAAGTTAAACTGGTTTTTATATTAATAATCAGAGGTAGTATCAAAATTGTCGTATATACTACTTCCGGTCCTTAATATAAGACCCTGTTTGACTTTTATTTTGATCCTAAATATAATATCCCAATCCACTTTGTCTCATATTTATACATTTTTTTCCAAAGTAGCCCTTCTAACAATGATAGTTCTAATCAATACACTTGATTAGCAGAGATATTTTAGGAAAGACAACATCTATTTAGGACAAATAACTAACTCAACTTACTTTCTTAATCTCCTCAAATTAGTCAACTGGCTCTTCTAATTAGGACCGGAAGTAGTATTTAGTATGCATCTTATGATGCTCTTGGATTATTAAACAAAGATAAGCTGTATTATACCCAACAAAAAAACAACAAATTAAATGCATTGACAGGATAATAAAAGTTAACCCTTTGAGCATCAACTAAATCCCCATCAAATTTGTTGTGAAATTCCCATATCTCAATATTTAACTTTTGTATCCAATGTAGCAAAATTAAATTACCACATTACTGCTACATCTTTTCATTAAAGAGTAAATATTATGCTTAAGGTTTGGGGGGAAAAAAGGAAAAACAGACGCGTGGGTGCTACATATTACACGAAATCACACTCTTCTATATACAAATGCATTTATATTGTATTTATGAAAAAATTATTTGAAGGACGATGAAGTTTATGGTAGAAGTATTTTTATTAAGTGATTATCTTAAAACAATAAAAGAAGATTATAGAATTCTTTCAAATTTACTTGATTTAAATTTTATCCCATTCTGATAGGGGAAAAAAAAAAGTGCTATCTAATCCTAAGCATAAATTTTTATTTTGTTTTATTTGATTTCTCTTTGTTACAATCTCGGATCACAAAGTTATAATCGTAGGTTCTTGATCAAAATCATGATCTGGATCAAAGTTAACTATTATCGGAATTATATGCGAAATTAAATAAGTTTTTTGCCGACAAATAAGGAATAAAGTTTGGAACATAGAATTTGAAATCAAACAGCCACTTTTAATATTTTAAAAAGAAAAGTATATTTAAGAGTATTTAGATACTTTCCTCAAAATTATGTTTATCTTATTTCTTTCAAGGATGATATACGTAAGTAGATGTGTATTAATAAATACATATTTTTTTATAATTTTGTTGGTGCGTAATTGTAAATATTTATTTCCCATGATTGTAAATTTAGGAGTTTTTTTTTTTTGCCAGCATTTTTTTAGAAATTTCGGGTATATGACTTGTACTGATTTTGAGAACGCAAAGATTCATTTCACCAAAACTTTTTTTCCTCATAAGCAAAAAATAAAAATTAAAAACTAAATGCGTATTTAATTTAATACGTTGTGAAATGTAAAGTTAGTAACCTCTTTCTCAAGAAAACTGGAATGGCCTTTACATTAAAAACGAACGAGAAGCCTATGAATGAATGAAAAAATATTCGGTTGGCAGAAAAAGAAAAAATATTTTTTTTTTCAGAGCATCAAAAAGTACCTTTTAAACTACATCAAAAATTTGGCCAAAAAAAGAACTATATAAAGAATTGCCATTTCACAATATTAAATTAAAAAAGTTTAAAGTCCTAAAGGTTTTCATTTGTCTTTTCTCTTTAATATTCTCAACAATTTGATGTTCAATATATAATAAAATTAAAAAAATCATTTAATAAAAAAAAGACATTTTGTGAGCTTAAAAACATGTTTTTCGAAAGAACAGAAAGACTAAAGTAGTGGGAAGCAGGAATGACAGCTTTAACTCTTTGAAAAAATTTACATTAAAGATTCTTTAATATCAAATCTAGCATCTACTTGGCAGGAAAGAAAAGAATAAAAATGAATAATAAATCATCAATGAAAAAGAGAGAGAGAGATAATTGAGAATTCTTTGAGTGGGCTACCCGGAAAGAGGGGCAATGCGTACTGGGTTAGAAGTCTTGGCATTTGCTTCCTCCCTAAGTCTAACTTTTGTGGAATTTCTTAGTCAATGGGGCAACTTTATTTTATTTCTTTTGGTGAACGTACTATATTTGCACAAGTAGGGTTTTTTTTTTAATTTATTGTCAAGGCTCAACGGTAATGTTGGTTAAAACAATCTTCTTACTCATAACTTAACATTACTGTTAATAATTGGTTTAACAAAAAAGATTAATCTCTCTAAGTTTGAATTCTTATTAAAAGATATAATCACGCTTGATTGCTTTCACTTAAAAAAAAAAAAGACCAGCAAGCAATAAAATAAAAATAGGTAATGTTACACCTATTTTCAGAGATTATATACTACCTCCGCTTCTTAAGATAAAAATTGGTTGACTAATTTAAGTACATTAAAAGAATTAGTTGAGTTAGTAATCTGTAATGAATAAATGTTATCTTTTTTAAAATATTCTTGCTAATCTAATATATTGGCTAGAACTACTATTATTACAAGGACTATCTTAAAAAAACAGATAAATGAGAGATTGAGGTCGTATATGTATGATCAAAATAAAAATCCAATGAAATCTTATATTAAGAACTGAAAGTAGTATTATACTACATCTGATCCTAATTATAAGATTTTATTTGTAGTTATTATTTTTTTGTGAGGTCCTTGATGACATTCTCCAAGATAATATTATTTCTGATCCTAATTATAAGATTATAAAAATATTGACACTTTAGGCGTATATAATTCTTAATTTTTTCTATAAACCTGAATTGAAAATATGCTCTGATGTGAAAAGATATGAAATATCCTCCGTACAAATGTACGAAGTTTTATAACTCACGGCCAAGTCCTAGATATTAGCTAACAACTTTGTTTTGAATCATGAATTACTTAAAAATACCAAACAAATAATTTCAACATGAAAGAAATTTTTTGGGTCTTTTTTTTTTTTTGAATATCAACATATTTTTAGAAATCATATTAGCCCTAATCAATTGGAATCAACACAGGTAGGATAACACGAGTGCTAAACCATTCCAATTGCCCTTGGTAATTTTTTTTTTTTTTAAATCTTCTGGTTTTGGAGTTTTCACCTTTATATCCTACTTTCGTTTTTGACTTCATATTTCTGCTTTACTTGCTAATCGTGAACAAATGGCGAGCTCTTTCTAGCAAAATCTAACACTAACCATAAGTATTTGTTTAATTTAGATTAAAGTGGATATACACATGTCATATTTTTGTTCACTTGACTCGCTTCAAACATGTGTCCTTGTCCAAGGGAGATCAAACTCCTAAAGAATTTGATTAAAATAAATAGGAAGGAACCGTGGAAACATGGAAAGTGCAATTAAATTAAGGATACTAGCAGCAAAATACAAAAATACCCTTGTTGAAACGAATTTAATGACTATTTTAGACGCTGCCGATGATTCTAGTGGACGCTCGTTGGCTGTGGCGGATTTTGCATGGCATTATTTTCCCCTTTGAAGTTCCTTTTTTGCCCTTTTCATGTCGTTTAGTAGCCGACGGCTTGAGGCGATATCCGACTTCAATCTTTGTAGTCACATAAAGAAGCAAATTATGGGACATTATTTGTATAATCTAATAAAAATTTATTGATCCTAACAAAAAAACATGTTGCCGCCGTAATTGATCAGCCTGTTTGGCATAACATTTCAGGACCCAAAGGTTTATTTCAGTCCATAAGCACGTTTGGAGTTCTAACACTTGTTTGGCTGAGCTTTTATCCTATATTATTTATGGGTTAAAAGTTAGATTTAGAACCAAAAAAAAAAACTACTTTTAACTTGATAAAAGCTAGTTATAAGTCTATCCTACTTGTAACTTATTTTTTATTCATAATCTAAATAATCTTTTATTCAATCTAACTTTTACAAACTAACATTAATAAAATCCAATCCAAACATAAATAATACTCCTCCGGTCCTTAATATAGGACTCAGTTGTTGAGTTGGTTTTAATCCTAAATATAAAATCCATTTTTCATATTTATCAGTTTCTTTTAAATTACCAATATAGATACTCCCTCAACCATAATCAAATAGAAGAGAAAGAAAAGGTATTAAGAAAGATGATTATAATATTTTAAAAAAAACGTGTCACGTTTTTTATAATTAACTAACTTACCTAACTTCCTTAATCTGATCAAATTAGTTAAATGAGTCTTATATTAAGGACCAAAGAAGTATTACTCAATTTTACTTTTATTCAATCTATCTTTTCTAAAAATTAAATTGAAAATAAACTACTTTCCCTACCGCTAACCCAAATGGACACGATATCATCACAAGTGCACAACTTAGTTGAAATATATATATATATATATATATATATATATATAATAATTGTCGAACATGCGAACATCTCTGACTCTGTGCGTGTGAGAGAGATAAATACCACCACCCCAAAAAAAAAAAATTGATGTTCAACGCAATTTATTAGAAAATTATAGAGAAAGTTAGAAAGAAAAATAAGCTTTACACAACATTACACTCTCCCCCACCTCATCTAAAATTTATGGCCACAAAGAAGGCAGAAAATGCAAACAAAAGGAGCTTGGATTTCTCCAGTATCTATATGGCCAGTATCTTACACTTCATCACCTTGTAATCCTACATGAACTCCAATATGAATCTTCAAGAAATCCCATTTCCCAATAAAACCCAAATCAAAATTCCATACTTCCGATGCATACCCCTACTACCAGATAGATTGATATTTGGGTTCACAAAATAATAGGTCAACCCAACTAATCGACCAATTGACAAAGAAATATAATTATCATACTGCTGAACTTTCTTGTTGAGCAGAACCCAGTAACATCGACATTTTCCCAAAGAAGATCAACTGAAGGTTCAAATTCTGTGGTTGAGAAATCACTTGTTCTTAACTTGAAAAATTAACACCTTGATGAACAGCTCCGGATAAAGGCTACAAACTGCGCGCTAATTCCTCACATATTTTGCTTTCTTGTGCATCTACAGGTTGAAATCTCAAAGTTTAAAACTTTTGATCACCAATACTTAAGAATAATAAGCTCATAAGCTTAGTCGTACTTCTCCGTAGAGAAACAAAATGTTTAACTGAGACATACCTCTGTTCTTTCCGGGTGTAAAGCGTTGCCAAAGCATAACAAGCTCTGTATGAAAAGCAGGTGAACCAGCATGAAGTACCTTTCAGAAGTCTTGACAGGGTTCTGAAAATATGCCCACCTATAGAAATCAAAGCACAATGAAAGTCTATGCATAGATGTCAATCGTCATTGTCAATGATGTCGAATAGGGAACCTATAGTCTGAGATTTGTGCTGTGACAGTTTCTCATCTTTAAATCTACACAAAGAAAGTGCGGGACTCTGCTTATTTGGACTTGACCCCAGACTCTGAGAAGCAGCAAGAAGGCGCTTCCTCAGTTTAGATTCTCTTCTTTTATCCTGTGAAGCTCGAAGGTGCTTCCTCGGTTTAGATTCTCTTCTATTATCCCGTGAAGTTACTGAAACCGAGTCAACATGCAATGGAGCACGCAAGACATTCGGAGGTGTTTCAAGGGTCATTGGTTGAATATCGACCTCCTCATGAACGACGGCTCTCGATGTAACATCTGAGAGTGAAGGGCTGCTGAAACTGTCGATTCTGTTACCAGTAGGAAAATATTTATCAATGATACCTGTGACTGACAACACTTCTGTTGACATCTCACTGGGACTGCCTTGCATTGAGTTGGCATTCGGTTTCACTGATATCCGAATCTCATTCTCCAGCATGACAATCGGACTCTTGTTATTTATACCTGGAAATCTTTCTTCAAGTTTACCAGAGCATCCTTCTGGAATTGCACTGGCTGCATTCTGCAAGTGCCTTTTGTCATATTTTCTCCTTCTCTTCTTCTTTTTCTTTAAAATCTGAACAGTATTGTCCTCACCGCTGCCTCTTGCCTCATTATCAGCATTGCAGCTTATGAAGTCCTGAGACTGAAAATGAGTAGTAGGAGCAGACTTGGGTGAATGTGAAATGCAAAAATTCTTCAAATGAATCGCTTCCACATGAAGAAACCATGCCCCTCTCATCCGATGGAAGACATATTTTAGAGGCAGTGAATCAGGCAGGTAGTAAAAGCACAATTTTCGCTTGACCTGGCAGAGTATGTGGCAATTCATTAGCGGGAAAAAAGAAAAGGAAAGAAGTAAAAAAGCTTGTGGGTGCAAATATTATAAATGACAAATCATAGGTGCAGGTTCTCTGATCGACTGCTTCCCAAACAGTTCTTTCACATACCATGCTTTACCGGAGAACACCTTCAAAGCTTTACCTAAGTTCTGTGGTACCGTAAATGCCACGTATAAATTAAAACAGGCAACTGCACGTACCATTAATCCATTAACTTGGATCTTTCCTGAATTTGGCAAACACAAGAAGTGAACTCTCTCAAAGTCTCCTGCAGAGGTACAAGAACATTGATTACGTCAAGGCTATCAGCTATTTTGCATAGAAGGATAAATAGAGATACAATCAAGGTCAAACGGAAATTTTAGATATTTTATTATGATTATTATTTCATAAACAGTTCAAGGACATTGTCAGTGTTCAAGATTAACAAGACAGCAGATGATAACGCATGTAAAGAAACTAAGCAAAATAGGAAGTTTAGCATCTCAAATAACACAAGTTTTAACAGGTGAAGCCCAGGGCACCGGGAAACAATTCAGTACATTTAGTTAAGATGAAAACAAGAAAGAAAGAAATGCTCTCTCTGAATACCAGTAACTTCCAGTCTTTTGTAGGCGCAAAACAGTAAGGACTTCATTCCTCTTTTTTTTTTTTTTCTGTGGTTAATTAATTTCAAGCATAAGATAGTTCAGGTAAATCATCAGTCCCTACTGTCTTGTACGCATTGAAATGTGAAAGAAAAAAAGACAAAATATGCAAAGGGCAGGAATATCAATACCATCACAAGCAGATATTGCAATGTGAAAAAATAAGACAAAATATGTAAAGGGCAGGGATATCAATACCATCACAAGCGGATATTGAAATGTGAACAAAAAAGACAAAATATGCAAAGGGCACTATCCTAAACTCTCATTATTGAAGAGTTCAAAAGGCACACTTTGCCTGTTTTAAACTTCAGTTCAGTAATAAGACAGTGGGAATGAGAAAAATTGTTACTATCATCAAGGGCTTGCATGATAGGGCAGGGTGGACATGGAGATGGATGGTTTAAGTGTTCAATGTTGGATCAGCCAAGGAATTATCAAAACTATCAAAGATTATTTAAGTATGAGATAACTCACTATTTTAAACAAAGAATGCGTTTATTAGCAACTGCTAAATTAAAAATCTGCATAACAGAACCGTGGCATCCTCAAGATTCTCATAAGGAAGTGACATTTCAGCCAGAGATTATAACTTCAACACAACAAATAAACCTACGCACAGACCAAGGGAACCATCCAAATTGCATGAACAGAGAACCCTAAAGCTGAAGGCCCTTAGGTCACAAAGAGGAGACTGTTTTCAACAGCAAAACTAAACAAGGGGGAAAAAACAACCTTGAATGTCTCATGAAAGGAAACCACATAAAGCAGAAGGTTTTACTGAATAGAGAAGAGAAATAACAGGGAAGAAGATATTCTTTTCCTCACTTTTGAATGCTCCTGCAGTAATATTATGAGGAACATTCAAAGCAATGCGAGTGCCCAAGTTAGTGTCTGCAAAGACCGAAACTTCACCAGCGAGAGTAGCCATTGAAGACATATTCAATGCACATTCTCAAACCTTTCCCCGTTGAGACACCAAAGAGACGAAACTCCCGTGAGGTTCGATGAGTTCGAATACACAGTAATACTTCAAACACATTTTAACAAGAATCTCCATCAACCTTTCTCTTGCTTGTCATCATTTTTAACAAGAATCAGAACCAAAGATGCAAAGAAGGCTTTTTCTCATCTGTAACTGTCTGTAAGCCTTCATCATTTGGGTTTACTTTTTCGTGGAACCCAAGCCCCCCTCGATATTTAGCAGAAAGAAAAAAGATGCAGAAAAAGTACAAAGACAAACAAAAAGGGAGAATATAATGGTGGTGCCTGAAGGCTGAACCTTTCGTAATAAAAAGTAGCTGTATTAAATCCAAATACAAAATTTAAATTAATAATTAAAAGGCTTAGGGGCTAAAAATCAAAACAATGCCAGGGACTGCAGTGCCATTAGACTTTCATGACCTTATTTTCGCGGGCTGGCATTTTCCCTTTGCCTGTTGGAGGTTTGCGCATTCTCTTTTAGTACCCTAGAAAAATGAAACTGAAAAAAAAAGAAAAAATGAAAAAGAAATGACTGAAATTATGTTTAAAAAATTATTTTTTAGCATATCATGGTGCATTAATGAAAATCTTGGTATAATGTTTTTTTGATAAAAGAACAAAACGCATTAAAAGTAAAAATGAAGTTTACAAAAGTTAAAATGAACTAAAAGAAAATGACCTGAGAGATAAAAGTCCTAAATCTAAAAGAGTATCAAAGGATATAATTTTAACATCAAAATAATCAAAATCCTTAAACAAATATTGGATATTTTGGAGCACCACATCACATTTCTCCACTTGCAGAGAGACTACATTAATAGAAGCTTTGCCAACACACCATAGCTGAAGATTTCTTTTGTTAATGCAGCTGTGTGATGCATAACTATTTATTCAAAAAAGAGCCACCCTAAGACATTGGCCAAAGGACACAAATCCTGTTGAGTGTATTTTTTTCCAAAGGAAATGGTACAAAATCTCTCTCTGTAAATAGACTCTGAGGTTGCAATGTAAATCCCTGTTCCTACTTTTAAGCTTCTGAAGAATGATCGTCCACCCTTATAATTCAAGACCCCTACTTTTAGTAATAGTTTGAGCATGGATGCCAATATACCTGTGAGAGCATTCCCTTAGATAAGTAATATCTGAAAAGGCTATGAAACCTTTTACTTCTTCAATGAGTGAAGCTAGCTGCTTGATTTTTCGTTCATGTAAAGCTAAATTCCTACTTAGCAACAAAAAATTGAGAAGTATAATAATGTCTTTTAGCATGCAAGTTTGTCCATCCTTGCACAAGTTAATAACAGTGTGCTTGGCCCAACATTTGAAATCAGCAAAGGACATGTCGTGGAAGTTGATTAAAAAGAATCCAAACCATACAGCTTTCGCGTAAGGGCATGAGATGAAGAGGTGTTCTAAAATTTCATCATCCTGACATTTAGAAAGGCATGAACCTGACACATTGAGATGATGTTGCCTAAGGACATTAAAAGAAGGAATGGCATTATGAAGAAGTTTCCAAATGAAAATAAGATGCTTATATGGGAGATAGATTGCCCAAAGAAATTTCTAGAAGGGATTGACTTGAGGGTTTTGTAACTCATTGAAAGCATAAAGTTGGTAGCCATCTTGAACTTTATAAGAACTTGAAAAATTTCCAGACCAATAGATTTGATTAGATTGAGCTGTGAGAGATATTGGTAGACTACAAACAAGAGAAGCACTGTCTGACTGGCATAATCTGAAAACTAAAAATTTATTCCATCTGACTCGATTCCAGAAAGAAGAATCATGCACTAAAAGATCTAAGACTCTGCTAATGCTTGCAGAAACATCAAAACTAACTTGCATGGGCCACCAAGTATGGTGGTTAAGGGAGATTGAGGAGCCATTTCCAATCTTCCATTTGAGCCTGTCTAATATCAATCCAGCACAATCAATTATTTCCAAGAAAAAAAAAACGAACCGAACTTGCTGGTTCAGGAAAAAAACCGGTCACCTATAGAACCAGTAATTAACCGGTCAAGCCGGCATTAAACTGGTCAACCGCCCGGTTTGGGGTTCGGCCGGTTTAATTTTTTTCCCCCACCTAATGCCCAAAATGACGTCTTCCAACATTTAAAAAAAAAAATTTGCAACGCTGTGGTTCAATTCACTCGGTCCCTATCTCCTCCTGGCCAGATTGAATCCCATTTCCATCTTTATTGAGCTTGACCGTTCTCCCTGCCCCAAATTCCTTGCATCGCAATCAAGTTGCTGTGGAGAGTGGAGACAACAGCACGGTGGTTGACTTGTAGTGGAGACAGAAGCATAATGGTTGACCAAGATTCCCATTCCCTTCTTTGTTGAGTTCGTTCTAGTCGACCGTTCTCCCTGCCCCAAATCCCTTGCATCGTGTAACATCCTAAGTCTCATCGGGTTTAAATAGCCTCTTTTTGGTTGATTTTGAGGATAGATTAGTGATTTAATGTTGATCTTGGTGTTTGGGTTACAATTGAGGTATGTTGGAGGAATAGGTGAACAGACCCCCCCTCAGGGTATGTTCACCGCGGTGAACCGGGAGTTCTAGGGGGGATTGTCTTTCGGGAAGGTTTGGCCGCGGCGAAGTCAGAGGGACGCCGCGGCGAAGTTGTTCAAGTGAGCGAGGTTTCCCCTCTCGGGAAGGTTTCGCCGCGGCGAAGGTAGGGGTATGCCACGGTGAAGGTTTTTCTGGGCGAGCGAGAGTTTCCTCTCGGGAAGCTTTCGCCGCGGCAAAGTCAGGTTTTCAGGCGAGTAATCCCTCTCGGGATTAGTTTGCCGCGGCGAAGTTCTGGGTTTGCCGGGGCGAAAGGTGTCGAATCTATATAGTCGCGGGAGGGTCTGGTTCTGTGAAACTTAGAAAATCTGAAGGAGGAGAGAGAAGCTCTGCTAGGGTTTTGGTGTTGTGGCTGGGGAAAGGTGTTTCTAAGGATCCATTACCTCAAGTAAGTGATCTTAACCTCTAATCTACTTTCTTTCTTGAAATTTCTAAGGATTTATGGTGAAACCCTAGAGTTTTCTAGATTGTTATGGAATTGAGGTTTTTGACCAATTGTTTTGAGTTTAATTGATTGCTTTGGGTTAGTCTAAGTATTTAATCGGTGTAGTTTTCTTGGATTTGAAGAACTTTGAGTTTTTGAAATTAGGGTTTATGGAAATGGGAGGTTTGTGATTGAGGATGATAATGTAGAGGTTGATTTTGAGTTTTGTGATTTGGATTATGTTAAGGAGGGTTAAATTGGATGTTTAATCGGTTTAGAATGTTGTTAAGACTTCAATTGTTCAAATGGGATGTTTGGGTGTTGAATTCCTATAGTGGGTCCTTGAGGTTATGAATTTTAATTGATGTTTGGAAAGGAATTAAGGTTTTAAATGGATTTTTTTATGACCTTGGAGTGTTGCCTTGATGGTTATACCCTTTGAGTTGGGTAGAGTTTGGTTGGAGTTAGGAATTTTTGTGTCCCCAAGTGTTGTTTTAGCCACATTATTAGTTGAAAGCTAATACATGTTGGTTGTGTGCTTGTGTAGACCGGGTGTGAGCCTTGTTGGTGCACGGGGCCGTATTGTTGGTTTGTTTTTCCTTGCTCAGGCGAGAGGTAGCCACTTTCCAATCCTTTGTACATGCTTTTGTGGTATTGTGAGTGGATTTATGTTTTGTGCTCCGAGTAACAACTGTGTTCAAAGTGTATGTTATATATTAAACGGAAAACCGTCTTGTGGGGTTTAAATTGATATTGATTGAATCTAGAACTTGTGAAAGATAGGCCACTGAAAGAAGTTAATTGTGAAATGATCATTTACTCTTTGATTACGGTTTGAACATGATGCATTAATTGAGAATTGGTGAGAGTTTTGATTGTTACTACCACGTGGTAAGGCCTCCATTAATGCATGATGGTTGGCTCTTTACGTCCACCATAGTGAGGGATAGGCCTTTTGGCTCCCTACGTCCCCCAGAGTGAGGGATAGGCCTTTTATGGCTCCTTACGTCCCCCATAGTGAGGGATAGACCGGGTTCGGCTCTTGAAAATCCCCTAAAGTGAGGGATATAGTTGATGGGATTGCATCATTGCACTTGCATGACTTGTGTGGCTATCATTTATAATATTACTTGTAAACTGCCCCACTTGACACCTCACAAGCACCTATTTAGTAGTACCTTGAATTGGAAAGGTTGGTTACTGGGACGTTGTCTCACCCCGTGGTTTACAATGTTTCAGGTGAAAATTCTAGGCGTGTGCCATCAGGAAGAGATGCAGAGGCTTGATCTTGGTTAGCTTTAGGCCTCTAGCCCTTGTATATGTATGGCTAGTATATATTGCCACGTTTAGGACCCCTTTTGAAATATTTTGATTACCCAGCCTTATTGTAAACTGGAGGAAATGTTATCTCCTTATTGTGGTTGGCCGGAGGCCATTTCTAGTGTCTTATGAAACTCTGATTTATTTTGTTGGAAACCATTTGGATAGGTTGATGTTGATGTCTTTTGTTACCTGAGCCGGAGGCTCGGAGGCCCAGTGGATGTTAATGAATGATTTCTAGTTGCATGCAACAGAGTTTGGGTTTGTCTCGAGTTTGAATGTTAATTTCAAAAATTGCGCAATTCTTTTCTACTATGGTAGTTTGTTGTAACAGCTTTCCTTTTCTACCATAGTAGTGATTTTATGACGAGTTTATAATATTTTGAGGATAAGGGTTTTACACATCACCGTCAAGCTGTCGTGGAGAGTGGAGACAGCAATGGGGTGGTCGACTTGTAGTAGAGACAAAGGCACAGTGGTTGATCTGTCGTGCGTCATGGAGAGTGGGGACAGAGGAAGCACGATGGTCGCCTCTCCAAATCCTGGATTTTGCTGCTCGCTTGGTTCAAATTCTTGGTTCATATTCAATCAATCATATCGGTTTTAAATTCCTTTTGTTGAACTGGATTGTGATACTTTATTTAGGATGCTTATGAAGAGATCTGTTGAAGGAAGTGAGTGCAAAACTGGTTTGTTGGCTGACTCTAGTAATTTTGTGCGTTCTTGTGGCAAACGAGCAAATGGCCTAGGCAAGAGTGTTATGGACTCTTTGTTCTATTTTAATATTATGAATTAAATTATATTATTTTAATATGACCGGTTCGACTCTTGGTTTGACCAGTGACACATGACCCACTGCCTTGACTGGT